GTCATTGGTCTTGCAAAATTCTATCATGGAATCTCCAGCACCATGTCTGTCACCGAGGTCACATTTTCCAACTACTGATCCTTCTTTATTTCCAAACTTTACATTCCAATCACCAGTAATTATCAATATATCTTGATTTCATATTTAATCAATTTCAGACTGAAGGGGCTTAGAATTCTTCAGTTTCATTATCACTGACTCCAGTGGTTGGGGCATAAATTTGCATGATAGTGATATTAACTGGTCTTCCTTGTAGGCGTATGGACATTATCCTGTCACAGACAGATCTTACTGTGTTCTTTTTGATGATGACTGTGATGATGCCATTCCCCTTCAATTTGTCATTCCTGTCAGAGTAAACCATGTTATTGTCAGATTCAAAATGGCTAGTACCAAATATGTTTATGCATTCCATTTTATTTTTAACCATTTCCAATTTTCCTAGATTCATACTTTGTACATTCCATGTACTCTGAGTGGTAGGTGCTGGGAACACAATGTTGAGCAGAACAGATCCACTCTCTGCCCCTCAAGATGCTTACAGTCTAATGAGGGAGACTTGCCTTTAATCAAATACTCACACAAACGTTTATTAATGAGAGAAAATTACAATTCTGATGTTCTGTATGCTATGAGAGTAGCGTGGGGAGATTTGACCTAGTTGAGGAGTTCAGGGAAGGCCTCCATGGGGAAGCAGTAATGGAGCTGGGATTAAGTGGGTGAACAGATATTAACCAGAAAAGAAGGAGGAGAGAAGGTTTCCGAGGGAGAGAACAGCATGGGCAAAGAGGGGGCAGATAGGAGGAAGGGGACAGGTAGAGTTGTGCCCAGTACTTCTTGGAGGTAGGGCTTAGAGTCAAGTTACTCAGGGGCCCCCTGCAGCCCTGGAGATTGACCATTAAATACTGCTGCCTAACAGTCCATCTAGGCTGGTGTTATTCCTTCTGCTTCTCCATTTTAAGAACGAGAAGCAGGTTAATACAGCATGGGGCATGTGAGGCAGGAAGAGGGATTGGCCTGGCTGGATTTGCAATCGGAAAAGTTTCTTCTGGTTGTAGAAGGTTCCTGGGTGGTGCAAACACTTTGCTATTGACTGCAAACACTTTGCTATTGACTGCTAACCGACAGGCTGGCAGTTCGAATCCACCTTATTGCACCAAGGAGAAAAGGCCTGGTTGGTCTGCTTCTGTAAAGTGTGCAGCCATGAAAACCTTGTGAGGCAGTTCTGCTCTGTAACACATGAGGCCAGCCTGAGTTAGGATCAAGCCAATGGCAGAGGGTATTCTGGCTGCAGGATGATGAGATCAAGTCTGAGGAGAGTGAAATCTGAAAGAACTGTGAAAGGAACAGGAGAAGGAAGGAAGCCTAAGTTGTGGGTGGGCCTCTAGAGCACCCAAAGAGGGGAGCTGACCTTTAATTTCAAGAGTTTTGACTGCCTACTTCCCATTTTTAGCTTCCATGGCCCCAAACCACCCTTCTGTGAGGTTGAACCACAGACTGAAGGAAGGTGAGTGTGGAGTTAGAGGTTCCCAAGCACACTCAAGCCATGAGCAGGGTTTTCATATGAATAAATCAAACCCATAGCAGCATTTCTGTAGCTTGAAGAAATGCTCCTGGCATTGAGACAGGACATTTTCCATCAAATAGGATGTATGAAAATCACATTTCTTTTTCTCTCTCTCTCTTCCCTCCAGGCTTATCTTTGGCACACTTTACCCTGCGTATTATTCCTACAAGGCTGTGAAATCCAAGGACATTAAAGAATATGTAAGTGACACTGTTTTTTGGAGAGGGTGGTGATGCTGGATGCTGCTGGGGCAGTTGGGGGCTGGGGAGGCTGAGGTTAGGGTGAAGGCCTGACATGGGGGGAGAAAGTGGCTGCTTCCTTGTGTGTAGCGGGGCAAGAAATCCGTTCATTACTCTTCTCACACGCTCCCTACTGTGCCCCTGGAATCCTCTCCCTTCATAGACCTTCTCTTTACAATTAGAGTATTGGAGTGAGAAAAGCAGGACAGTACTGGAGACTTGGAAGGCCCCCAGCTCTGCCACAGGTCATCCTTTACCTCTTGAAGCCTCGGTTTCCTTGTCTGGAAAACACTTTGTAAACAGACCATAGAGCACTTTTCAATTTTCATCACTGGGAGACTGTCCGGCATTCAAAGGAGGAAGATAGGTCCTATTGGCTCGCGTATCTGGGTATAGGTCCTAGCTCTGCAACTCTAGGCCCCCGCCTCGTTCTAGTTCTAGGATCTGAATGCTCCATGATTTAAGCCCTGTTGCTTCTTAAACTTTTTGAGGGTAGAGGTTCTTTATCACAACATTATTGTTTCCCACAGCACCTAACAGAGGGCTGAACTTGAGGATGGGGATGGGGAAGTGTTCAAAGTGTTCATTGTACAGATAGTGGTTATGTGCTGTGGAGTCAGTTCCATCTCATAGAGGCCTTGTGTAGGATTTCCGAGGCTGTAAATCTTTCCAGGAGCAGAAAGCTTCATCATTCTCCCAAGGAGTGGCTGGTAGATTTGAACTGCTGACCTTGTGGTTTGCAGTCCAATGCATAACCCACATAGAGGACTTATTAATAACTGTTGGGTGATTTGGGCATCCCAGTCACATGCCTTCAGGTGGGATTGCTGTTATGGATTGAATTATGTTTCCCAAAATATGTGTTGTAACTTTTTTTTTTTTTCTTTTGTCTTAATAATATTTATTTTAGTTTTGGTGAAAATATACAGTGGAAAACATGCATCCATTCCTACACATACAGTTCAGTGATGTCAGTTACATTCTTTACTTTGTATCAACAGTCTCTTCACTTTGTATCAACAGTCTTGCTATTTTTATTCAAACTGATTCATCACTTTTATATTAGACTTACTGCTCCCCTAGTCTTCTCACCTATACTTTGGATTACTACTGTTTTACATATATGATCTTTTAAAAAGACACAGTTGTTGTAGTTAAGTGCCGTTGAGTCGATTCCAACCCATAGCGACCCTTGTATAGGGTTTCCAAGGAGCAGCTGGTGAGTTTGAACCACAGATCTTGCAGTTCAAACGACTTTGCAGTCTGACACATTAGCCCACAGTGCCACCCCAGGACTCCATTCCTTACTAATTGAGCTAAAGTGTTGTTTAGTCTAAAGATGACTTCAGGGGATAGTTTTAGTTAAACATTGATAGACTATCTCTGGGCACTACTTTTGTGGCTTCTTCCAGTCTCAGTGTAAGTCTGGAATCTTTAAGAATTCGAAGTTCCATTCCAAATTTTATTCTCTTTTGGTTAGGCTCCATCTGTTGTGACTGATCAAGATGTTCAGCAATGGTAGCTCTGTACCATGTAGCTCTTATGGTCTCAGGACAGATAAGGCAGTAGTTCATGGATACAATGAATCCTTTAATCCATTTCATTCTCTGATTGGTGAATCTCCTCCTCCTCCTTCTGTTGTTTCCAGTGAGTGTTGTTACTCTTGATCTCTCTGCCTGGTTATAATCCCATCTAGGACCAGGTTGTCTTTGTTATGTTAATGAATGAGCATTAGCATAAAATGTAATTTTGAATCAGTCTCTTTTGAGATATAAAAGAGACAATTGAATCAGAATCAACTCAAAGACAGTACATTTGGTTGTGAACCCTGTATTTGGTTGGTTTAGAGGAGACCAAACCAAACCAACTCACTCCAAGACTGTAGATCTTTACAGGAACAGTCAGCCTCACCTTGCTCCTGTGGAGTGGCTGGTTGGTTTGAACTGCTGACTTTGCAGTTCGCAGCTACTATTTAACCCACTATGCCAGCAGGGATCCTTGAGCAAAGGAGAGACGTCTCCAAGGAGCCAGGAAGCAGAAGCTGGAGAGACAAGGAGCTCCCTCCATAGTCGGCAGAAAGAGAAAGCCAGCACTCTGAATTCTGACTTCTAGCCTTCTACACTGTGAGAACATGAATTTCTATTTGTTGAAGCCACCCACATGTGGTATTTCAGTTATAGCAGCACTCGATAACTAAGACAAGAGCCACATGTCACCCGTGGTAGAGGTACAGAGATCAGGGTGCTCTTTCTCATGTAGGACAACAAACCAGGTCAAAGTGAAAAGGATATGGGGTTTTGGTATTAGAGACCAAAGGTCAAGTTTTGGTTCTGACATTTAACTTATATAAAGTCAGACAAGTACCTTGATTTCCAGGAGCCTCTGTTTTCTCTTCTACATGGTGAGTGGATAACAACCCAGGTTTTGGTGTTATATGGAACAAAAGATCACTGCTCTCCCTCTTTTACTCCCATGTTACTTAGCCAATTTGGCATAGGTAAAGAAAACATTCAAAGTGGGCTCAGCAAGGTATTTCCTTTTAAGATTTCCCAGGGGGTCTTTATGATGTAACCAGCCACCTTTATATCAGCTGCAAACAGAATTTACCCTCCACTCTCCCCATTACCCAGAACTACTTGTTTGGGCTTGCATTTTGCTGCTGCCAAGCAGGGGATCCAGACAGGGGTATTTTCTCCACTGGAGACTGGGCCCCTGGTATGTGTAAGAGAGGCTCAGAGTGCAAACTATAAATAACTGGTAAGTTGCAAGCCCAGAACCTCATGATTCCGAATTGAGCAGGCAGTCTCTTCCAGAGCTACCTCACCAACCCCTTCCAGCCCACGATGCAGGAAAGTGATGCCAGTTAAGATGGCCTTGCTGGGGTCGCCATGGTTCAAGGTCTGATCCTCTGCTTTGCAGGGGCAGAAACTCAGTTCTGTCAGCTCATCCAGGAGAGATCAAGACCTGCTCAATTGTTTTGCCATGACTAGCCTTGCAGGAGATTGGTTTATGACTAGAATGGCAATTCATTAATTTAGAGTGGAAAATATCACTGACAAGCAGAGCAGCTGTTTGTGTTGGCTGGCAAGCACACACTTTTCCCAATATGGAAAGCTTCTTGAGAGTTGAGATTAGAAGGATTCTTTATAAAAATGGAATCGGAAGAAAGTAGCTGAGTAGTATTAAGGAAGATCTTCCTCCTTTCTCTGCACTCACTCAGGTACACATACAAACACACTCCCTCTCGGACACATTCACACACACACATGCATACAACAGTCCTGTGTTTCCTCCTTGTAAGATAAATCTAGGGATTTCCTTCGACTGCTGCCTCTCCCTTACCACACAACCCAGTAGCACACTCAGGTGGTGACTAAGACCCTTCATGTCTGTCTTTTAGACACTCAAATCTCTCTTCCTGCTGTACTGACACTCTCTTACATGAGGTTCTCATCATTTCTTCCCTGGGTTGTTGCAATGCCCTCCTCTCATAGTTGTTGGGTTTTTTTTTATTGTCACTGTAACAAACTTAGCAACATAAAGCAACTCAAATTTGTTCTTACGGTTCTGTAAATGAGAAGTGCAGTGGGTCTCACTGGACTAAAATCAAGGTGTGGTTTCTTATGGAAGCACTGGGGAAGAATCTGTTTCCTTGCCTTTATCTCCAGCTTCTAGAGGCCGTCTGTATTCCTTGGCTTATAGTCCCTTCCTCCATCTCCGAAGCCAGCAATGTCGCATCTCTCTTCTCCTTCTTCTATAGTCAAAGGTTATCTGGTTTTAAGAATTCATGTGATTAGATAATCCAGGATAACCTCCCCATCTCAAGGTCCTCAACATTGTCACATGTGCAAGATCCCTTTAATATACTCACAGGTTCCAGGGATAAGGACATGGGCTTCCCTGGGGGCTATTAGTCTACCTACTGTACTGTCTCACTGGTTCCCTTGCCACCTCGGTTCTCCACATAGTAGTATTTGTGTGTGTGTGTGTGTGGATTGAGTAATAGTTTACATAGGGGAACATCAGTTTTACAGTCATCCTATCATATTCATTTCATTTCAATGATTACAATTCCCTGCATGCTTTATCATTCAACAGTATTTGCTTCTATTCCCTCTGTGGTTTTTTTTTTGGATGTGCACCAAAATACTCAGGAATATACAGTCATTCAAACAGCCAAAGGGCACACCCTGCAAGCCTGGCACTGGCTGCCTGCACACAGCTCCTTTCCTTCCAGGAGTCTAGAGTTCCCAGCCACTCCATCTCTCCACGTCATCATCTCTGCCTCCATCTCACGTCGCCACTTCTCTCGGTAGGGTTCCACGTTCTGCTCCTGCTTTTCTCCCTTGATGGTTCCAGGGTCTTCTGCTCCTAGACTGTAAGATCGACCACTCACCCCTACAAAACTTCCACCTTTACAGTTGTGACAATCACAATTAGTCATGGTAACAGTTACTCACTATTGAATCATAAGAGTCTTGTCCCCATCTCATTTCACCAGACCTGTCTAGACAGGATGAAAACCACTCAGTTGGGATTCTACCTTCCCCCACACACTCTGAATCTAAACTCCCTCTTTAAAATTTGTAAGCCAGTCACTTCATACCTTTACAGCCATCCACCCCTACCACCCCGCCCCATTTTAGGTAGCCAATGTCTAAGTTGCCCATCCCTATCAACCCTGTGTACAGAGGAGATGGGAATGATCCTTGCTATAAAGATTCTTTCCCTCTTGGTTGGTATTTTAAGCTACTACATCTATAAGTATAGGTCAAGTTCATCAGATTGTAGTAATTTACACTTGTTTTCTTTAAAAAAAAAATCCTCCCCCCCTCTTTTCCTTCCTCTAGTCAGGTTCTGAACATCTAGCCATTGAAACTAGGTCCAATGGGTACTACCTGCAAGTTGGGGTGCCCTTGTGCATATCTTCTCACTTCATATCAACTGGATGCTTCACTGTT